TTATTTCGAAGCTGAATCTGCAGCAAACCGCTGCAGGAAATCTTTCAATTAACTTTTTCATTAATTAATTTTTACTTAATTAAGCTGAATAAATTAAATTAAATCCATGTTCTGATCTTTTCCACTTTCGCTAAACTCGCAGCTTTCAGGTGTACGTACACTTGTTCTTGGAAAGACCCAAAACATACTCTCGAATTAATCATTTGAAATCAAAACAAACAAATTAATTATTTTAAGTCAAAACAAATAAATTGATTCATTTTTTGGAATGAAACACAGGCAGACGAGTTAATTATTTGAAATAAAATCAAAACTGAATTTTTTGGTTTCGATTTTTATTTTTAATTGGTGGAAATAACTTTCTTGAAAATGCAGTTTTAATATTAAATGTTTTTTATCTTCTGCAATTAATTAAATTATTATTTATTTAGTTCTGCAAATAATTAAATTATTTTAATTTTTATTTATTTCCTTTTATCTCCACTTATTTGCTTCTACTTTCATTTGCCTCTGTCCTCTTCTTCCCTTATTTGATTCTGTTTTATCATTTTATTCTATTTTATTCCATTTTATCTTTTATTTTATTTATTTTATTTTATTTTATGTTATTTCATTCTATTTTACTCAAAGGAATTCATTTGCAAATGGCTAAACGCAAACATGTGTTCCTTTATTTATTTTGAATTCACTTTTTAATTTATTATTTATCATTTAGTTATTGTTTATTTATAATTTATAATTTATTTATTTTCTCCCTAATTTAACTATTTTTTTATAATTTACTTAATTCATTTACTGTTCTATATACTGCCTTTTGTGTCTTCTCCGCCTCCGACTCTTCCTAAACCCTAAACCCTAAACCCCAAACCCTAAACCCCAGGCTTTTAATGCAGGAAACCGAGTGAAGTAACCAAGGTGCATCTACACTCTTCCATTCTCAACTACAATTTAAACTCCTTTTTTAAATTCAAAATTAAAATAAAATTTAAATTTAAATAAGTTCGGGTGTCTGTACACTCCAGTTCAAATGCGTTTCCCCCGGCATGCATAAATGGGGTGTACGTACACCCGGGATTTGGAGTTCGAGTTGAAAAGTGAAATGCGTTTTAAAATGAATTTGCTTCATTATACTTTTTATTTGTTGTTTTTCAATTTATAATTCATCTTACAATTCATTTTATAATTCATTTCTTCTTTTGCTGCAGCAGCAAATTCGAGAAGGTTCTTGGGGCTTTCTTTGCATGCAGCAGATACAAAAAACAATTTTTGAATTATTAAAAAGTTATTTTGTTCTTCAGATTTGTTTGACAATTGAAGAACTTGGAAAGACATCTACGATGAAACTTTCATTCGTTTGGCTGCACGCGACTCAGCAGCTTCGGAATTAATTAGATCTACGTAACTGCTGCAGCAGCAGCAGTGACGTGCTGCTGCAGCTAGTGCTGCTGCTGCTGCTACTACTGCTGCAGTTGATGCTGCTGCAGCAAGTGGTGCTCCTGCAGCGACTGCTTTTGCCGCTAGTGCTGCTGGGACCAGTGCTGTTGCAGCGAGTTCTGCTGCAGTTGCTGCTGCTGCAGCTGCTGCAGCTGGTACTGCTGCTGCAGCAGCCGCAGCAGTTGCTGCGTGAGCAGCAGGCAAGTTTGCGGTCGCTCGCTGGCTGCTGCTGCTGTTCGGCGCAGCAGAGCAGCAGCTGCGTCGCTCTGTGTGCCTAAGAGGACTACTTTGCTGCTGCTTTCCCGTAAGAAAAGGGAAAAGGTGCAACTGGGCTCTGAGAAAACGAAGCGTGGGGGGCAGCAGGCGCATGCATGCAGCAGCAGCAGCGCAGCAGCAGCTGCTGCTGCAGCAAGAAAGTGTTTTGGGTTTTGAAAAGAAGCGGAGTGCAGGAAAGCGGGGGCGGGCGCGGGGCGGCGGAGCGTGAGTGCGCATGCACCCACCTCACCACCACCCACCTATCTGCTGCTGGGGGCGCGATCCGCGCGTTTCCGCGGGATTTAAAAGGTGAAAAGGCGGTTTTTTGGGTTTAAAAAGAATAAAGTGGAGCATTTAGAGCGGCGAAAGGGCGAATAGCGGCGTTGTCTTTCGGCGGGCGCGGCGGCGGCGCAGCAGCACCCCGCCGCGCGGGCGGGAGGCGCGCGGGGCGTCGCCGGCGGCCGCGGCCGCGAAGAAGACGCGGAAAAGCATTAAAAGAAAGAAGTGGACTTCATTTGGGAATCAAGACAGGAAAAGAGCGGCGAGAAAGGCGGGCGGGGCGCGGCGCACGTGCGGCCACCACCACCTGTGTGACCAAGCCCCCCTCCCTCCCCTGGCGGCGGCGCGGAACTGGGCTGCGATCCGGGGCGAAAGCAGTCGGTTTTCCGGGAAAAAAGCTGCGAAAAAGGAAGAAAACGTCGAATTAAAGGAGCTGGGGAGATCGGTGAGTCTCTTGGGGGGCGGGGGGGGCGTTTCGGGCCGCTTTCCGCGGCGGCGGTGTTGCTGCTGCGCCGCCGCAGCGGCGCAGCAG